CTATCGCAGTCCACTGCTGGACATAGGCCTCTCCCATTGGAAGAAATAAATTTAAATAAATAATTAATATAATATAATCATAAATAATTTTAATTTAATTTAGTTTTTCGATTAAAAACTTTCTCCATTTAAACAACGTTTAAATTGTAATACTTATTAAGACTTTTAATTTATTTTTGGTTTTAGGTACTGAAATTTACTATGGTTTTACTTTATAATTTTACCGTAACTTATACACGCAGAGCGCAGTTTTTACGATGTCCTAAAATGCAATGTCGGCAGTTTGGGCCATCGATTGTCAATATCTAATGATGGTAATCAGCATGCAGCGTTAGTAGTTAGTTGCGGACGGATATAGCGATCGCACCGATAGTGTTTCCATCGAGGCTTCCATACCTACTACACTGATATTTATGGACCAATTTGCCATTGTCAATGTTTGCATTCCATTACCACAAGGAAAAGTGGTCAAGCGTTTATATTGTCTTTGTCACGAGACAACCCGACCGAATAACGATTAAATACTTTTTGATGCCTTAGAGGCGGAGAATGACAGTTGAATAAAACATACTTATGGTCCATGTGATCTAAGAGGTACCGTTTGATAGTTCTGACAGATTGAAGTATAGCGATTGGTAAGGAGGCAAAGAAATTGATTACTAAAATATCTGGTTCTTAAGAGATTTAGATATCATTTCTTAGTATGTACTAATCGATTATAGTTTTACAGATTTATGTATGTTACTATAATGTGTAATGGCACATCATAGGTTTTGTTAGTAAATCTTAGTACACACTAAACTTGGACACGAGTGATTTTTGCCTATAAAGATTTGTTTAAAATTGCATTAACTAGCATACTTTTAATTTTCATTATGTGTTTTCGTTGCGATTTGGATGTCAGATGAATTTTAAATATTATTAAACACTACTGAAAAATTCGATTATCCGTAGGTACATTTGAACGATTATTCGTATTCAAATGAATTTAAAGAGCCGCAGCACTATAGTAAATGACCTAACTACGTGACTTTGAAATGAAGTTTAAAAAAAACACATCTTTTGTGTATAAATTGGTAATTATGCTTTGTTGCAAAGTTTTAAATTTAAATTAAACAGAAAGCGACAAAATAAAAATAGCTGCATAACTCCATGGTTTTACGGAAAAGGTTATTGAAATTGTGTGAGTTAAGCCTATACAAAGTTGTTTAGTCTTGAAAAATATGAAACGTCAAACGGTACCTCTTATATTCTCATATATTATATGGACTATAGTTGCAATCATGAAATGAAAAAATGAGGTTAGTTCCGTTCAGATTGTTCATTTTTCGTGAAACGAGACGGGATTGCAAATTATTGACGCCGGCTGCCAACAAATTCGATTTTATCTGAGTCGACGTTTTCGCGCTGGTTCTAATAGAAATATTTATTACTAAACTACATAGATATTATATGCGGTAACAGCGTAAAATATAGATAGACAGATATATTAGAGGATCATTTTCATTTTAAGAAATTAGCTTTGTTACCGTGGATATATGAATCCAACGTCATTTTATATCACTTTTTGATGTCATGCATTGTGTGTCATTTTTAGCAAATCGGCAATCGAGTGTGTCAGGATTCTCTTTTAGCATAAGGAAACTTAGGTTACATCATAATATTTGTAACACGTCAGCAGATTATAGAATACAGATAGATGATGTAAATAATTACTTTTAACAGCCCCAAACTAGATAATTAAGACTTACTAATTATTTTATTTATGTCACACTTATTAACGAAAATGAGCTTATTTTATTATTACTTATAACTACACGTGTTTTTCTCTCTTTGTTAGTATTTATCATTGGCCTTAAAGGTACTAATACAGAGCTGCAACAAAACGGTTAATAACCTTTTAAATCATATCTAAAAATACGCAAACCAACTCATTACCGTCGGACTCTTTGTTAACGTAGAGAGTAGGTATATGTCAGCCAAAGTAAAAACTCTGGAGAGCGCGTGTGTTGCGGCGCAGTCCAGCCACAGTCGATTTCGTAATATATAGAAGTATCAATTAAATGTTATTTTATAGTTCCCGCTGTACTAATTAATAGATTAAATGTATTACAAATATATCTTGTTAAAAAAGCAATTTTTGTGGCCAGAAAGCACCGTATACGTTGCTGCCCGGCGACGTGTATAATATAGGTAGACTGCTCAGAATGTTCTAAAATATAAACTAATAATATGTTCCTTTTGTGTTTTTCTTTTTTTTATTACAATTTACTAAGAGACGCTTATATTAACAGAAAATTAGTTCAAATAATAATTGTCATTAAGCGCCCAAACTACTAAAATAGCAATGTAGGTATGTAAGCAATTAAACTACAAGGAAGATGCGAAGGCGCTTAGTGCAAATTCTTTCTGTTTCTGTGAGTGTTACTCTTATTATATTTCATGGAAAAAAAAAGAACACAAAAGGAACATTTGTCCGTTTATACTACTTAGACTTTAGTTATGAATACATGGAATATCACTCAATTGCACGCTCGCCATGGTGCAGCGCTTTTCATTTCTTTCACATTAACTATTTCAGGCTAGAAAAATAATACTGGGTTTACGTACTTACTTGTTATGTCACCCAGCGGTCGATCTTCAACAGTAATTAAAGTAACAATAGGAAAGACAGCACGGATGGCGTAGTGGTTTAAGCGGTCGTCACGCCGCTTACTACTACGCTAAGTGTTGTGGGTCCGATCCCCACATAGAACGACACTTTGTGCGATCCACAAATTGTTGTTCGGAGTCTGGGTGTTCTTTGTGTCCGTTTCATGTATGTTTGTAAAGTCCCCGCGACACAGGATATATTCCTAATGCGGGAGTTGTCTTTAAAAAAACAAAATTGTTTAACCATCGTTAACAAATGAGATCCGTGAACGACCAGGGAGTGAAAACCACCCGCCAGGCCCGGGCACGGGCCAGGCAGCGCAGGCGACTCAGGCGCCGGAGGTCGCAGAACGACCTTCGTCCTCCATAAGCGCAGGCCTGGGGGTGACAGGTGAGGCCATCTGTCACCCTAGCAGAAGCAGGCCGGGGTGGCGGCGAGCGCGTTGCGAAGCGCGCTCGCTTCCAGGGAGCACAGGGAACATGGGGTTCCCACACGGGGCGGGGGTCGTCTACTCGTCTGTAGATGACCCGAGGTATGTCGGGGCACCAGGGCCTTCCTTTCTAGGGTATACCTGGTTCCCCGGCTATTAGTACCCGGCGAAGGCGTGCGGTTTTAGTCGGTTCGTGTCCGACATGCCACCGACAGGTGGTATCCGAGGGGATTTCCGCACGGAAAAAAAAAAAAAAAAAAAAAAAAAAAAAAAAGGGAGTGAAAACCAATAATTTATTGGTAACACTTTTTTTTTACTCGTAAAGTTTCTTTATAACTACTTTTGGTAATTGTAAAGTAAATGAACTGATGTCACATTATTCGTTAGAAAAGTGTTACCGATTTCGATTAGTTTATTGTAGTTATATAAAACTTGCTTTTGCTCGTGTGTATGTCGGTTATCGCGGTAAAAAGTAGCCTATGTTACTTGCTGATAATATAGTTTTCTATGGGTGAATGATTTGATGATGATTATAAAATAAGTTTATTGGTTTAAGCGAGACAGCGTAACAAACAAACAAAATCACTTATTTACTTTGTAATATAAGTATGGATTTATTTGGATATACGACACAAAGCTACTAATATACTTATATACTTATCGTCATAGCTATACCATAGACAGACAATCTTACAAATAAGCACTAACAGTTCAACATTTCTTTTTATTAAATATACACCTGACATTTTCATTTGTAAACTATATTTGCCTGTTTACTGTAAGAAGCGAATTTACATTTCATATTATGTAGCATACTTTATGAAATTATGAGTTTAAAACTGAATTTTTAATAAAGACAGTTTATTTCTAAATTTTAAGTAGAAGAGCTTGCTGACAGTTAGACGTTAAGTTGGACACGAGAACAACCGATTCCTTACCACAATAATGACTTAGGAAATTAAATGTCATTATTCTAACTATAAAAGTAGTATTTGTAAGATTTATTATGGTTTTTTGAATAGATAAAAATATATAATAGTAGACAATTACTAATAATTAGTATGTTTTTACATCGTCTCGTTTTATGACAATTAGTCTCTCGATAACAAGTACAGTTTGCGAAAAAAGGTATACATTTTGAAATAAAATTAAAGGAAGATTGTTGTGATGTGAGAATAAGTACCATCTACTTACATGGTTTTAAATTTACATAAGTTACTAACCTAACCTAACTCATTCTTTTCATTAACCTCATAAATTTCCTTACTCTGATTATAGGTATTACAGTATTTATATCGAATGTTTTTCAACAATTTTCTGTTACTAAATACAAAGTTTAATTTTAAGAAGCATGGTTTTCCTTAGATAAAGTTCTTAGGTTTACAAAACACAGTTACTTTACTACAAAGGAGATAAAGACGGGGTAATATTTAAAAAAATAGACACATTGTTTGATAAATAATTTATTTGTATTATTACTGTTAAGGTTTTAACAAAAGGGGGAGCATCGGCCGCATTGACGTCGATACCGGCTATTTACGTCCACGTTTGAATGGTAGCTGTCAAATAGAAGATTAGCAGATACATGCACCGCATTTGTATCTGATGTATTGCATACTGCAAATCACTTTGGTTTCCTTTCTTGGATCCTTCGCATGTGTATCCACTTGGCTGTACGCTTTCTTAATCCGCTTATGTATCTCTGATGTAATGAGGATATCAAGATTTGACATGAGGCGTTACAGACAGGAATATTTCTAGGTTTACTTGCCATAATAACTAAACTATCATCTGACAGCAAATTCTGCCCCTTTCTAAAAATAATCTAATAATCTCGTCTACTGTAAACAGAAGTCTAATCTTTTTATTTAAGGAATTTCATACGAACATGTCTACCCCGACCTTTTTTACACAGTAATGGGTAACGCGAGTTTTGTCTTGAAAGTTATTAATATTTTAGCCGAATTTCTAAGTTCGGCTGGGTCCTCTGCTGGGTAGCGGTTAGGCCAGGACAACTTTGTACTCTCCAGCCGGTAATCGCCGAGTGGGCAGGGCGGCAGCACGGGACCCTTTCCTTCCGACTGACGCAGGTGCTTTCCGGGCACGGTTGCTTCGGAAATTACCTGCACACGGTCGCTAGGAGGGAACTAAGTCCCGCCTGCCACCACTGCGACTGCAGTGAGGACTCGGCCCAGCACACGCTGGCGGTCTGCCCCGCATGGGCGGCGCAGCGCCGGGCCCTCACTGCAGTCATCGGAGTGGATCTCTCGCTACCGGCCGTAGTACGCTCCATGGCCGGTAGCGACAGTTGTTTTACCGCGGTCGCAACCTTCTGCGAGGTAGTAATCTCGCGGAAGGAGGCGGCGGAGAGGGCCCGGGAGGACGACCTCCACTCGGACCCGATCCGCCGCCGGCGAACCGGGTGGCGGAGGCCCGCCTATCACAGCCTCATGCCGCCCTGAGTGTGGCCGCGGGTGGACGGGGTGGGTTTCCCCTCCACCCGCATTAGTTTGGCCAGCCGCGAGGGGGCGGCGTCCGCGTGTGCCGGACGTCGCCTAAAGAGAGGAAAATACATTGAGACGGAGCCCGCACCAGGAGCGGGCTGGCGCTAGGAGGGGTCCGGATGTCTTAACAACAGCTGTTCCCGGATCCCTCCTGTTACAGGCGCAGAGTGGCACACCGTGTGGTTTTAGTCGGTCCGAGCCCGACACACCACCCCGCCGCAAACCCCGGAGGGGTGACGGTCCGAGGGGATTTCCACACGTTAAAAAAAAAAAAAAAGGACAACTTTGTACCAGCATCAGAACAAATACAAAGAATCTGACGGACTTGGAAAACTGTTATTTTATTATTTTCCTATTTATTTCATACCTTATATTCTAATAAAATAATTTCCTATATTCTACAAACCGGTCTATCTATTCTCCCCTTTATTTGTAAATTTCCGGTCAAAACTAGCATATTACAATAAGCTTTAATGTCTTACAAACTAATTGAAATATTTTTACTCTTATAGCCGGGTCTATTTATTCATTATTTTATTTTTTTAATTAAAAAAATATTTAATACACTCTGTTACTGGTAACTGTGAGTTAGAATAAAATATGTAGGTAGTATGAATGTGTGCTATGATTTTAAACATAAGTTATTAGAGTCAGAGATTCTGATGTGCAGTGCACACTTTTCTTAAGTTGGAGTTTCCTTTTCCTCTAGTATTTTAAACGAGTTTTGTTATTAGTAGAAGTTTTAACCACTTTATCTACCGTTATAATTTATACAATAACATTGAAACCTATATTAATGTCAATTTGAACCAAACAAGTGTTTCAAATGTTATGTATTTTTTTTTTTTTATTGTTTAATTAAGTGTCATTGTTTCTTTCATTCATACATTTGAATAATACACAACCATTCAAAGAAGGCGTGCGCTCGTGTCCCGCACTCCCCCCGACACCACCCTATTCGCTCCACGTCATGAATACCCGACCAAACTCCGAACGGCGCGCGCCCAGTTCGCCAGTCATCGAGCGGCGGTCCTGTTAGATGCCATCTGAGAGAGCCAAATTATTATTAACGTTGTTAGTCTGACATGCGCGTAGTTCTTTGTAAATTGTGACTAAAAACAAACGAGCCAATTGGATTTCAGTGGTTAAACGAAGTGTCAGTGCAGTGTTGACATTAATTTGCTTGTAAGTTATAATAGTCGGCGTAGGATTTAACCGTTTGGTAGTGCAGTGTTTATGTTGGGTGCGCGCGGCCCGTTTCGTTCGGCGTGCTGGAGGGACGTCGCCCCCGAGGATTCCTATTAGAGGTAAGCCGCTAAGATTACGATTATTTTTGACTTCTGTTTACAAACGGGACGATACTTTCGTCAACCAGTAATTCACAGAGTGCTATTTGAATGTGTTAACGAGGTCTTTTCGTCACCAAGAAGCCGGTTCCTATCCTAGTGACGATCCTTTTCAAATAAATCAAGTTCCCACTAACATAAAAACTGACTGACATAATATTATTGTGTATTGTATAGCTCACTACAAAATAATTACCCAGCCAATTAAGCAAGTACTTTTTAGTTTTTGATGAAATAAGCAGCTGACAAATTGGACTTAGAAAAACTTTACGAGCGATGTCAATTGCAACTAAAATTACCTACATGGGTATAACATAATCAATTTTATTATAAGAATTATATCCCAGTTGTATATATGTGCAAGAAGTTGGTGTACACATTTACAACTAGAGTACATTATTTTCGTTACAATATTAGCGTAAGTGTACACAATGTCAGGTTATTGATAATAAAAGTTCATTGGTTCTGAAATTCGTTTATTTCTCTTTATATCTATAATAGGTTTTTAAATACAGGTAAACAAACTTTGTGACGTGGATCTGGTCCGTGTAACACTAAAACCTTATTAACCCTCCATAATCATAAAAAAGCTATACACAAAATCTACAAAGAGCAGGATTTGTGTATAAACAACAAAATTGTTTTACCTACCTCGTTATAATTAACAAAGTCACGTTTGTAAGACATCAAAGCTCATACAAATTACTGTTTATTAGTAGGTAGATACAATAATGTGTTTTGGAACTGAATTCATACCGTCACCTTGACGGGGGCCTATAGACGTTTATAATGCCAGGGATAAATATAAAGGCTCGTGACTTAGTAGTTTTCTTCTGTGCCTACTAATTACAGTGGTATTTAGTAGGCACAGAAGAAAACTATAAAACTGAAATCTAGAGGTAAATTATGGTGATACATATCTTGTTTCATTGAAGGCGACACAACAGCAAGTACCTAGTTGCCGATTTTGAAAACCGTAGTTTTCAACATCGGCAACTAGGTATTTAACAGAGCAAAAAGAAGAGGATCCTCAAATCGCTATTTATGTACCGAATTTTAATTAAAATATTCCTTAATAGATTTAGATGTAAAATTAAATAGAATGTCATAATTTGATTACAAATACGGCGCTAGACTCTTAAACTTCGTATTATACTGTAATTTCCTCCAATAAAACAAATAAATATTAATTAGTTCTTCCTACTATCAGTTCTCCTACCATTGCCATATCATTGGCGTGTCTCGCTAACATGTGCAACTGACTTGGCGGGTAGTAGGCGGGCTCAAGCGTAACCCAGTTTCGCGGGTCACGCTGTGAACCGCTGCTCAACCGGCGAGGACGAAATGCTCATTCGGTCGACTATTCACTGATAGAGCTCATTATCACACTGACACAATAAAAATCGCCCAAGTCGTCTAAGTTTCACTTTAGCTTATATTTTGTTTCAGTAGGCGTTGATTTTGTAATTTCTAGCTAATGGCGCTAATATAGGTAACAATTCGGTAATAAATCGAAATTAATCAATATATATACTTTAATCACCCGCTAGTAAAACAATTCACGTAAGATTTTCGAGGATACAGTTCAAACTTAAAATTAAAAAGTAAACAAATAGCCCAGGGATAACATTATGGTTAATTAGTCTATCCAAAATATTAATGCTCTTATACAAAATTGGTAGGTATATCAGAGTACTGAAGAAATTTTTTCTCGATGAATTATATATCCATGTTATGCTGTTTACAAATGGACTAATGTGAATTGATAGAGAAAACAAGGGATTTTCCAAACAATTTTACAATTATACAATACATTACTTACACAATTGGACTAATAGACCACAAAAGGAATGGGTGTGTAATCTGGACGAGAGTAAGTACTTGCTACTTGTAGTATTGCCATCTGTTTAACAAGATTCGGCCAAGTTTTGAAGGATTTTCCAGCGACTTTGACTTTCTTCCTAGGCTCTAAGAGGCATACAGACATACAAATACTAAAAAAAAATGTTAAGTTAGTATTAGTTCTGGTTCGAATATTTATCTGGATTTAGTAAAGAACTGTTATTTATACTTGACTTATGTAAAAAAATGTGTACAATGCAATGAAAATCGTCTCTCGTCCTTGACCCGTATCAAGTCCTAACCTCAAGACTGCAACACACATACCGTTTCGGGATCCAAAAGTTGCTATTGTGCTAAAACCTAAAAGTCAACGTTAACTTTGTTGTATCTATATGTTTAAGAATAAAAAGTGTTAAACTAGGATAGAAGGATTACTTCTTAGAAAGACTAGTGGTAGCTTCATTTTATTTATAAACTTGGCTAATACTTCGGATAATTATGATAGTATCACGAATCTACGTTGTTAAAAGTATACTTTAATTATTATTAATCAAGTATAAATATAAAAGTTACAAATGCATAGTAAATAGTAGGTGTTAGTCGTTTTCTACAGTTTCATGGCCCGGTCTCATATGTCCCAGATTTGACAAATAAATACAAAGAAAAAAACAAAAATAGTAAAATATCCTAAACATAATAAATATGTGTTAAGGACAGGTGCAGGTAAAACTACGGGCCTCATCAAAACCACTCCCCGTGGTTTCACCTGCGTTTGTGGTCACTGCTTTTCAAGCGTCGTCGATGGGTTATTATAGATTTATTTTAGCGATTATTAATTTGTCTGTGAGTTTTAGCAAATAACTAGGAAACACTTATTGATGTAAGCATTTTGTGTACTTACGCTTTTAGCACCATTACTTACGTACGTTCGTATGTGCGTACAAAATGCGTAGGTGAACGAAGTACAATCATTAATACACATCATTTATATTCAGGTAAACACCGAATATTACTATCATAAAAATAAATATCATGATTTACTAGAATTGAAATATGTTGAAAAAAAGTCGTATATGTAGGTTTATCTATACTAATATTATAAAGCTGAAGAGTTTGTTTGTTTGTTTGTTTGTTTGTTTGTTTGTTTGTTTGTTTGAACGCGCTAATCTCAGGAACTACTGGTCCGATTTGAAAAATTATTTCAGTGTTAGATAGCCCATTTATCGAGGAAGGCTATAGGCTATATATCATCACGCTAAGACCAATAGGAGCGGAGCACCAATGAAGAATGTTTCAAAAACGGAGAAAATTTATTACTATTGAGAGACGCAGACGAAGTTGCGCGGGTCAGCTAGTTTATGATAAAGGGGACAACAGAGCAGACGGGTGACCTGATGGAACGCTTGCAGCTCAGGTGTCACAAACACGCTGCCGGCCTTTGAAGTAGAAGTACGCCCACAGAAGAGTGATATTAATGTTTAATTAGTTATTTTAAGTAGGAGATCATAACATGGAAAATAAAAAATGAAGAAGATTAAATTAAAGTGGTCGGTGTAATGGAAACAATTAAACACGAATTATGAAGTCATCGGCGTTTGCGCATGGCGGCCGGCGCGAGCATGATGTAAACAGATATGTCTACTACTGGCCAAACGCGCAGAAATATAAAAAGTAACGTTATATATTTCACTTATTCTTTTTTCGTTCTTTTATATTCCATATAACATAAAGGTTGCCTAGTGAAAACAGGTTGAATATACGATGCATCTGAAATAATTTCAAATTTATTTTTTTGTTGGCTCAGAGATTTCATTGTATATTATTGTAATAAGCTATTTGTTTTTGTAAGCTTGTTACAAAAATCTTAGAAATCAGCTTTACTGTCTTCTTACAATTACTTTAAATTTAAGACAATTTATTATATTCTATAATTTTAAGACCTAACTAGACTTCAAAAATGAGAATCTAATATTTTAATGTTTTAAGTTTGCCCAATTTACTATTTTGCCATGACCGTTTCAACAGAGATGACCATGATGACAACAGAGATCTGACTACGAGGGAAATATAAAAACACAAAAATTTGAATATATTGCTCTTGCGCATATAATTTAATAATGCATCAGCGGTAGCATCTTTACTGTATCTCTGGTAATGAAGGGTTGCATTCATAAGCAGCGACATAAACAATGCAATGTTTTTCTGAAGCATTCGAATAAGTTTGAGCAAAACATCAACAATTCTAAAAATAATACCAAATTATTCAGAATCAAATGTCAACTACTACTACGAGTTACTAACTATACCAATAACAACTATAAATCATTATGGACTTATGGTTAAATTGATAAAACTTGTTGTTTCAATTGTTTTTGACTGTGGCTTTGTAGTCTGCTGTATGCTCGTTTTAATTTGCCACCTCCAAGTGTTTGCATGCATGCAAAATGGAAACACTGCACCTTAGAGAAAACCTCTTTCGCGATACCAATACCTGATATCTAATAGGTAAATAGCCAAATCAAAATTTAGACTTATGGGCCTGTTATCGCTGGGTAGGCTTTATTGCGGCTGTTTATTTTGCGGATATTTATGTCTTATTATGTCTTTCTAATATGTTATGTAAAACTTTAAACCGTTTTAGTCAGCCAAGTATAATTTTGAGTTTAGTTTATTGCTCCGCTGGCTACCTGCACCGGGCTCGTAAAATTTTAAATGTTTGCTTTGGTTTCACTGTCGAGCACTAGTCCATACACATAATTTATGCATTTCTATTAATATTTTACAATTCGTATGTAATGGTAGTGACATTTTAATTTGTAATTTTTATCGCTCTCAAAATTCAGTTGGTTCATATTAAAATGTGCACTACAACGCGCATCGATCGACGTTGATCGAAGTTGATCTACTGTTGTTGTACAGCTTTGATTGATCGATGCGTTATTACTTTCTTCTACGTCGAATAGTGTAAAAATGTCAACAAATTACTTTTAAGTTGCTGCCTTAAGAATACATAACGCTAATATATAGAAATAGTAAGAGAGATCAAAATACTGCGGTAGTATTTTTCACTTTTATTCAAAACTCATCCCAATATTTTCATCCTTTGGCAAACAATCCCA